CACGCTTTCTTGCTCTCTTGCTCTCTTTCTCCCCCTCCCTCTCTTTCCCTCTTTCCCTCACCCTCTATAGCTCTCTCTCTCTCTCTCTCTCTCTCTCTCTCTCTCTCTCTCTCTCTCTCTCTCGCTCGTTCTCTCTTTCTCTTTCTCTCTCGCGCTCTCTTTCTCTTTCGTGCGCTTTCTCTTTCTCGCGTTCCCTTTCTCATTCTATAGGTGTTTTGCAACAACAAAGTACAGTGGGTTACTGTGGCTTACAGTGTTACTATAAGTTACATTGAGCCTGAATCGGCATAACACAATAATTAATACTAATTAGAGAGTTTCGGCGCATACACAACACACATTATTTGTGCTACACAAGCACAGATTTAATCTCCAGACTCCAGGCGAATCGTTTGCCAGCTACATGAGAGTAATTTCCAGCTAGTAGTCGGATCCCGTTTCACACACAAACCCGGGAGACCGGCCACCATGGCTACTTCACTTGACAGAATGCGACATACATTTTCTCGCAAGATCAGTCTTACTTTAATTTTTCAAGCTTTTTAGACGTCACTACATGGTATATATATAGTGTATATGTAATATTATAGGGATCTATGTGTACTCACACTCACTGCTCTCATACCCTCTCTCGCCATATATGGCAATGGACTGCCATCTACCGGTCATGAAACATAATTCCATTATACCCCGCGACGAAACAGACTGAGTGCGGTAGCTAATTACAGATCAGTGGGTAGCTTCTGCATATGTGAGTCACATTTAATACCCCCACAAAATCCTGTACTTCTTTCTACCTTCAAGAAAACTACTGTACAGTGACCCTAAAATGACAAGGAAATGATCTTTATATTTCACAGACGACAGCCTGCGAGCCTTGATTTATTGCCAAATTATTGGGCAATATACATTGTCTCTCTCTGTATAAATAAATAAATAAATAAATAAATAAATAAATAAATAAATAAATAAATAAATATATATACATATATACATATATATCCAGAGAGACATGATACAAGATTGCGTGGCACAGCTTTGCTGTTGATCCTGAGCGCTGCACGCGGATGAGAAGCGCAGTTCCGCGGGATATGCGCACGCGACCGCGGGGATGTTCCAGTATGAAGCGCTGACCGCAGTGGAGACGTGCGCCAAATGCGAGGCCCGGCGCACGTCTCCACAGCGGTCAGCGGATGGTCTGTAGTTTTAGAAGATAACAATGAAGACTCTGTATTAAATAAGAACTATCGGCGGCTAAATAAGAGCAATATATACACCATTGAATTTCTTGACTAGTATATGTCAAAAGGCTTGTTGGGGGTCCATTATGCAGAGCTTCCAATTAAAATGGCCCATGAAATTGTCAAGTGGAATTGTGTTTTTCTAAACCCCAAAGAAAATGTCTCCTTCTTACATGCACCATCTCCCTGATCAATCACGCATTCAGGCGTAAACAATAACAGAGATGAAATTGTGTTGAGTTTGTGGCTATTGACGCACGTGCATTGACGTACAAGACCATTGAAAGCACAGGCACTTGGAACGTCTCAATAAAAATAAATATTCACAAAATTTGTCACAATGATTGACCGCCTGTGTGCAAAATAGGTGAACGTATGTGAAACATATACGGTTAGTACTTACTGTGACATATCGGGGATTAACTGACACCACTAAATTGTAAAATGTTTCATGCACCTTAAGAAATTCTGAGAAATTACGAGGTTATCATCGCAGAACTCCCCAACACCGCCCATCCTCATGTCACAAAGCTATATGTAAACAAACACGCGTGTTGCGAGGTGCCTGCTTCCGCTATCAATTTCGAGGCCCGCTAAGCCAAGCATAAGGGTTTACGCCTGGAAATGCTTTCCCATAGGTGGGCATACTTACGAAAAAATTCCCATAAATCAGCACAAGGTTTTTCTACAAATAATAATGCCATCCTCTAAATACACGTCGCAAGTGACAATATATATGTTATTAACAAAAAATTCTTCCATAATTTCTCTTGTAAACAAAACTTTCCCAGCGCACACGAGAAATAGGCAATTTACAACTTGAATTTGCACAAAAAGTAGGCTTTCTTTGAAAATTCCTGGGCCGCCCCAGCAACGCACCTCGGACGAGCCGTTTACACTGTCGGATTCAGAAAAGATTCTAGTTTTTGAAATTAACAATTGCAAAGAGTTCTGACCCTTTCTAATGAGAAATACAAAATTCAAGCGTACGCGTACACTCAAATACGATCTCATTTTTGCCCTATCCCAGCGCTCATTGGTGGATTTGCCACCGTGGTACCATAAAGCGCGCGGGTAAGACGTTACACGCACAGCTACGTTCATTGGCTAAAACAATCGAGTAGCGCGGTTAGGGATTTTCGGAATGATTTCATTTTAAGAAAAACTTCAATGTTCAATGAATGACGTACTTGTTCACTTCCGAAACCGGGTAAAAATGCCGAATTTTTCCAGTTCGATGCGAAATGCATCGGCCGAGC